AGGTCATAGCTGCCAAATGGTTCAGTCACTTCCTGGTAAGGCCAGATCATTTATGATGGTGAACCTTTTCTCCACCTGTAACATCTTCACTGTGCTGCTGGAGTGGATACCTATTACTTTTCTATGTGCCCAGTAACTCTTCTTTTTAGAAACTGCAACTCCCCCGACTCCATGTTACTCCAGTGGGGCTGGTGACCACACAGCACCATGTTCTCCACCTCAAGGATGGGCATGTGACCCGGTCTAACTAGAAAATTCCCATGTCCTGAACACAGCAATTCTTCCACAAATGAGCCAAGGGAGTTTTCAAGCAACACTATATACAATGAGAGAAAGGGTATTGTGCACTCTCATCATTTGGGATCAGGAGCTGTAAGGATGGAGTAAGCTGGGAGAGTCAGGATTTGCTACTGGCCAACTCCTCATCCCGTGAAAGAGCCAGGGTTGAGTTATTCATTAGGAATGGCAGGAAACTACATAGGGCCCACTATACTTTTAGGAGCCCAGGAAAATGTTTTAATTTATTTTAAAATCAGAAGAAAAGGAATACAGTCTAGCCTGGATTGTATTCAACTTTATACCCATGCAATTGTAAAAATGTAATTTTTTTTTTTTTTTTTTTTTTTGAGTCTCACTCTGCCACCTGGCTGGAGTGCAGTGGTGCGATCTCAGCTCACTGCAACATCCGTCTCCTGGGTTCATGTGATTCTCCTGCCTCAGCCTCCTGAGTAGCTAGGACTACAGGCATGTGCCACCACACCCAGATAATTTTTGTGTTTTTAGTAGAGACAGGGTTTCACCATGTTGGCCAGGATGGTCTTGATCTCTTGACCTCGTGATCCACCCGTCTCGGCCTCCCAAAGTGCTGGGATTACAGGTGTAAGCACTGCACCTGGCCAAAAGTATAATTTTTAATATGGTTGTATGGCGGAAGTAAACCAAAAAGCAAACGTACTAAGGGCCCATGAAAGTTATAATGTGACTCTGGAAAGGACTTATCTGAAAATGAAACCAATGTGGGGAAAATATCTTAGAGATGGAGCAAGAACAGAATGGTCAGTTGAATCCTTGGGTCAGCCACATTAGAAACCAAACTATCCCCTTGGACATCCCAGTTAAGGGAATGAATGAATTTTCTGTTTACTCAAGCTGGTGTGTTGGACATTGTCACTCTCTTGGCTGCCCAGAAGCTTCCTGTGTTTGAGGAGTTTCCCAGCTTCTCCTCCCACTGAAGAAGACTTTACTTCCTTTCCAGCCTTCCTTGCAAGCAGAACTCAGACATATGACCCAGATCTCTGGCCCCATAGAGATTTTGTGAGATACCTAATATCCTTTAGTAAAATCATTTGCCGATTAAACCAGCCAGAGTTGTTTTCTGCTATTTGAAAGATACTGAGTGGTACAGCTAGCTTTAGCTGGACACTAAAAGTGTTTTGACTAATACACAGCAGAGCCCTCCTCTACCCAACCCTTTTTTCAGGGTTCAGAGCCAATCAATTGTAGTGTCTTCCCAACAGCCCATCTGCTTTGTCCCTGGAGAAAGGTTAGGTCAGGGTAAGTCCTACCCAGGACAGGATCACAGGAACCAGAATAGCTGTAGAGTACAACTTGAAAAGTCAGTGTGATGTTAAGACTCCTTAATGCTTCTGTCCCTTTTCTCCCAGACTCCAGACTCTTCTTTACTTAGGACTTTCCTTCTGACATCATCTTTAGGAGGAGGGGTGCAAAGAAAAATTATTTTGCTTGTTTATTTCTCCCACCCAAAAGCACCATAGACATTCTCCCACAGGAAAGTGTAAGAAAGGTGTCTCCAAGACTGCCTAGATTGATGGACCTGGGGGCAAAATCAGAACCAGCTGCAAGGACAAAGCTGCTAGGACAAGCAGCTGATGGAGAAAAGCTCAGGAGGAAGAAATGCACCCAAAAGCGATGTGGAGGGAGAACAAGGGAGGGGGTCAGGAGACTCAGACCTATAATTTAGTCTAAGTGCCTGTAAAGTGGCCTTTCTGCCCCATGGCTACACAGCCAGCACCATCTCCTCATTCACCACCACCATCCTGCCTCAACCTATCTTGTACTCCCAACCTGATTCTTACATTCTGAAGATATTGACTCTTCATTTTCTTTCCCACTGATGGTCTTGTATTACCCTACAAATCTGATGCTTCAGATCTGTATCAGCTGCCTTATTTGAGTATAGCCCCTACTTTGCTCTTGGGCTACTTGCTCATCTCAATTCTGCTTCATCTTCTGATTGTGCCTGTGTCCTCTCATCACCCTGCAAGGCCTGGAGCTGGAGACCAGGTGATATGGTTTGGATATTTGTCCATGTCCAAATCTCATGTTGAAATGTTTTCCCCAATATTGGAGGTGGGGGGCAAGGCGAGTGTTTGGGTCATGGGGTGGATCCCTTATAGTGTGGTGCTATCATTGCCATAGTGAATGAGTTCTCATGAGATCTGGTTGTTTAAATGTGTGTGGCACCTCCTACCTCCCTTGCTCCTGCTCCCACCATGTGCAATGCCTGCTCCCTCTTCACCTTCCACCATGATTGTAAGCTTGCTAAGGCCTCCACAGAAGCAAATGCCAGTGCCATCCTTCTTGTACAGACTGCAGAACCATAATCCAATTAAACCTCTACTCTTACAAATTATCCAGTCTCAGGTATTTCTTTACAGCAATGCAAGAACAGCCTAATACACCAGGTGTAAGTCATCTCAGTCCTTGGGACTCAGCACAGAGTCTGACACAGAAGAGGGGCTAAATCTAGAGAGTGAATGAATTGTATGGTGAATAGCGGGTCACAAGTGGATGTTGGTTGATTGATTTTACAAATGTACTCATTTAATAGAGATGTTTCTTGGATTAATTTACTGATGGCTTCCAGGTTACAAAAAAGAGAGAGGCTCTCTCTCTTCCCAATACCTAACTGAAGGGAAGATAAAAAAGTATAAAAGGAAACTTTACCAGAAGGTTATTTGGTGTCCTTGAAGTAAAAATACCAGTCAATGCAATGGAGAGAGTATTCAAAGATAAACAGCAGGAAAGTTCCATGAAATAATTCTGCAGCACTCTAGGGCAGCTATTCTTATTTCAAGAATAATTGGTGCAGGAAGATCAATACCTACACATACCTTGATTAAGTTATTAAACTTCAAGGATAAAGATAAAATGTTACAAGCACTTAAGAAGGAAAACTCTTCTCCTTGGCATTATTCAATGTCACAACATTGTGGAACAATGTCTGAAGTCATTAAAGCCCAAAGGCAAAAGGCAAATATTCCCAGGAACTCAGAAAGTACAGCACCTATGAGCTTTTCATTAAAAAACCTAATACATAAAGAAATTCAGAAAACCAGTGGTTAAGTCAAAATAAAGCATTATGGAATAGAGAAGCAGTGATAAACGAATGATGATGAGCACTACATAATCCATTTAAATGTAGAATTAAGACCAAAGAACTTTGGGAATTATAACTACACAGTAGAAATCAATGTTTTAAACCTTGACCAAATAAAATTAATGATATAAGTAACATTTTTGAAGATCAAAAGAAAGTGAGAATAAGTATACAAAGTTAACAGAGTCATGCATCACTTAAAGTCAGAGATATTTTCTGAGAGATGTCATAGCGTGCTCACACAAACCTGGATGGCATAGCCTACTACACAGCTAGGCTATACGGCATAGCCGATTACTCCTGGGCTACACACCTATACTGAATACTGTAGGCGATTATAACACAATGGTAACTATTTGTCTGTCTATCTAAACATATCTAAAGAGAAAAGGTACAGTAAAAATATGGTATAAAAGAAGAAAAGGATATATCTGCATAGGGCACTTACCATGAATGGAGCCTGCAGGACTGGAAGTTGCTGTGGGTGAGTCAGTGGGTGAGTGGTAAGTGAATGTGAAGGCCTAGGACATTATGTACACTACTGTAGACTTTATAAATACTGTAGACTGGGCTACACTAAATTTGATAAAAAATATTTTCCTTTTCAATAATAAATTAAGCTTAGCTTTCTACAACTTTTTTACTTTATACACTTTTAAATGTTTAAAAGCTTTTTGACTTTTTTATAACACTTGGCTTAAAACACAAACATACCATACAGCTGAACAAAAATATTTTTATACCTTGTTGTATAATTTTTTTCTATTTAAAAATATCTTTTTTATCTTTAACTTTTTTCATTAAAAACTAAGACAGAAACCCACACATTAGCCTAGGTCTACATGGGATCAGGATCATCAGTATCACTGTTTTCTACCTCCACATCTTGTCCCACTGGAAGATCTTCAGGGGCCAATAACATGCGTTGAGCTGTCCTCCTTCTGGAATACCTCCCAAAGGACCTGCCTGAGAATGTTTTACAGTTAACTTCTTTTATAAGTAGAAGTACACTCTAAAATAATGATAAAAAGCATTGTATAGTAAATACATAAACCAGTAACATAATCCTTTATTATTATCAAGTATTATATAATATAGATAATTGTATGTGCTATACTCTTATATGCCTGGTAGCACAGTAGCTTTGCTTATACCAGCATCACCACAAACACATGAATAATGTATTGCACCATGAGGGCTATGATGTCACTAGGTAATAAGAATTTTACAGGCTGGAAACCATCATTCTCAGCAAACTGACACAAGAACAGAAAACCAAACACTGCATGTTCTCACTCATAAATGGGTGTTGAACAATAAGAATGCATGGACACAGGGAGAGGAATACCACACACTGGGGCCTGTTGGAGGTTGATGGGGGTTGGGGAGGGATAGCAGGGGATGGGGAGATAGAGGAGGAATAACATTAGGAGAAATACCTAATATAGGTGACAGGGGTATGGATGCAGCAAACCACCATGGCACGTGTATACCTATGTAACAATCCTGCACGACCTGCACATGTACCCCAGAACTGAAAGTATGATTTTTAAAAATTAAAAGATAAAAAAAGCTCTCTGGTGTCAGCTGCAGAAGCAAGATGACGAAGGAAACGTCATCGTTTGGGAAGTGTCACAATAAGATGTACATGTTGTGCCACTGCTGTGGCTCTAAGGCCTACCACCTTCAGGAGTTGACCTGTGGCAAATGTGGCTACCCCGCCAAGCGCAAGAGAAAGTATAACTGGAGTGCCAAGGCTAAAAGACGAAATACCACCAGGACTGGTCCAATGAGGCACCTAAAAATTATATACCATGGATTCTGTGAAGGAACAACACCTAAACCCAAGAGGACAGCTGTTGTAACATCCAGTTCATCTTAAGAATTTCAATGATTAGTCATGCAATAAATGTTCTGGTTTTAAAAATTAAAAAAAAAAAAAAAAGAATTTTACAGGCTGAGCACCGTGACTCATGCCTATAATCCCAGCATTTTTGGAGGCTGAGGCAGAAGGATCAATTGAGACCAGCTCAAGCAACATAGTAACATCTGTTCTCTACAAAAATTTTAAAAATCAGCCAGGTATGGTGGCATGTGCCTGTGGTCCTAGCTACTTGAGAGGCTGAAGGCGGATTGCTTGAACCTGGGAGGCTGAGGCTGTAGTGAGCTGTGATTTTCCACTGCACTCTAGTCTAAGCAACATAGTGAGACCCTATCTCAAAAAAAATTTCTTTTCCAGTTCCATTATACTCTTATGGGATCATTGTATATGTGGTCTAACATTGACAGAAGCATTATTCATGCATGACTGTTTCTTCTGAAGTTGAAATGAGAAATTAAAAAATAATGAGTCCAATCTCAGTGTTTTTCATAATCTTTTTATTTCTTAATTCTTATGCTTCTTTAAGGAGTTAACATCTCTTGAGCTGAAGATACATTTATCTGAAGTTCACTGGTTTACTAAGTTTTGCTTTAGTTCTTTTTTCTTCTGTTAAGTAAAATAAAAGATATTTAATAGATACAGACTTTCAGTTTGGGAAAATGTAAAAGTTCTGGAGATGGATAGTGGTAATGATTATACAACAATGTGAATATACTTAATGCCACTACATTGTGCAGTTGAAAATGATTAAAATGATTCAAAAAATTATATATATATATTATACATATATTATATATTTTATATATTATATATATACAGAGAGAGAGAGAGAGATTCATCACAATTTTTAACTGGGTATATATCCAAAGGATTATAAATCGTTCTACTATAAGGACACATGCAAATGAATGTTCATTGCAGCACAGTTTACAATAGCAAAGACCTGGAACCAACCCAAATGTCCATCGAGGATAGACTGGACAGGGAAAATGTGGCACATATACACCATGGAATATTATACAGCCATCAAAAATGATGAGTTCGCGTCCTTTTTAAGGACATGGATGAACCTGGAAGCCATCATTCTCTGCAAACTGACACAGGAGCAGAAAATCAAACACCACATGTTCTCACTCATAGGTGGGTGTTGAACAATGAGAACAAATGGACACAGGGAGGGGAGCATCACACACTGGGGTCTGTTGGAGGGAAATAGGGGAGGGACAGTGCGGGGTGGGGAGTTGGGGGGGGATGGCATGGGGAGAAATGTCAGATATAAGTGAGGGGAAGGAAGGCAGCAAATCACACTGCCATGTGTGTACCTAAGCAACAATCTTGCATGTTCTTCACATGTACCCCAAAACCTAAAATGCAATAAAAAAAAAATTTCTGTTCTCTTAGGAAAGAACTAATTGTGGTTGACCATATAAAGAAATAAGCACCAGAGCTGGATTTCAAACCTGTTCCAATCAATTCTGCTACAGGTGGGGTAGAGAGAGCTCCTAACAGACTTCCTCTTCTCTCCACCCTTCCCCACAGATAACAATTATAAACTCCAGGGAAACATTTTTTTAAACAACTTAAATATTCTGGAGAGCAACCAAAAGCAGGCAGAGCCTAAAGAGATATCAAAAACCTGAAAGAAGGTATAAGCACAAGATGATTTTCCTGATTTTACAGGCTACAGTTATAATTCCAAGCACAATGACTAACACTTTAATAGAAAATCTGCAGTCCCTCAAGCCAGAAGAACCAGAAGACAGCGACAACAACCATCACCTCTGAAAAGTCAGGAGTAGGATGGTGTTCTCAAGAAAGGAAAGAAGATTGAGTTCTATCTATAAACTCTTCCCACATTCCCTGGATGACCCTGAGCCATGAATGTCTGGGAAAAACTCGAAGCAGCATGCAGCTAAGTCTAAAAAATCTTAATTGATATTTTAGTTACAACTGACCGCAAGCAAAACCAAACTTATTGTTTGAGTCCAATCAAGTAATTTGCTTTAAAAAAATCAACGAAGTAACATCACTGAGAATGATGAAATAGAGAGTGCCAAGAATTTGTCTCTCTATAAGCCACCTTGGAGTTGGCAAAAACTAACAGAATCAACCTTTTTTAAAACCCTGGATCCAATTCAGGAAAAAAAAAAAAAGTGCAACAATATGGAGTATTTTATGAAGAAATAGGTGCTAAATTTTAGCATTTAAGGAAATCTCTTTCAAGAAACTGGCTGACCACTGAGCTAACAGATGGAGAATTCAGTGACCACAACAAAGAATACAATCTTTGCCAAAAACAGTTTGCAAAAGTCACTAAAGAAACAGATTATGGCAGCATATGAGACGTTCTTCCCCAAGAGTCGCTGTGGTTTCCTGCTTCAATAGTGCTTGATGGAACTGGCGCTCATCCCCCCACCCTGGCCAGCTGCCCATAGCCAGTCCTCCGTTACCTCCTCACTGCACCCTCTGACTGCGCCAAGGCCCCCACCGTCGCTCCAGCACCACTCAGCCACAGCCGCCGCCACCGCCTCTCCTCAGCTGCTACCAAGGTGACAGCGTCCCCCTTGCAGGTGTGCCAGAACTACCACCAGCACTCAGAGGCTGCCATCAACCGCCAGATCAACCTGGAGCTCTACACCTCCTACGTCTACCTGTCTATGTCTTACTACTTTTACCTTGATGATGTGGCTTTGAAGAACTTTGCCAAATAATTTCTTCACCAGTCTCATGAGGAGAGGGAACATGACAAGAAACTGTTGAAGCTATAGAATTAACGAGGTGGCCGAATCTTCCTTCAGGATATCAGGAAACCAGACCATGATGACTGGGAGAGCAGGCTGAATGTGATGGAGTGTGTATTATGTTTGGAAAAAAATGTGAATCAGTGACTACTGGAACTGCACTGACAAAAATGACCCCCATTTGTGTGACTTCACTGAGACACATTACCTGAATGAGCAGGTGAAATCCATCAAAGAATTGGGTGACCACATGACCAACTTGCACAAGATAGGAGCACCTGAATCTGGCTTGGCAGAGTATCTCTTGACAAGCACACCCTGGGAGACAATGATAATGAAAGCTAAGCCTTAGGCTAATTTCCCAATTGCCATGGGGTGACTTCCCTGGTCACCAAGGCAATGCATGCATGTTGAGGTTTCCTTTACCTTTTCTATAAGTTGTACCAAAACATCCACTTAAGTCTGATTTGTACCATTCCTTCAAATAAAGAAATTTGGCACCAAATAAATAAATAAATAAATAAATAAGATTATTGCAGCATGTAACTAACAATAGCAGGAAATGCTGGAAAGAGTGAGGAGAATCTGATTTCCAGAGTTATCACATTAGAATACTCAAAATGTACTGTTTTTAAAAAAAAATTTAGAAGGCATGCAAAAAAATAAACATGAAAATATGGCCTATTTATAGAAAACATAAATTAATTAACAAAAACTATCCTGGAGGTAGCCCAGACATTGCGCTTCCTAGACAAAGAGTTTAAATCACTTGTCTTAAGTATGTTCAAAAAATAAAAGGAAACTATGAACAAAGAACTAAATAAAACTAGATGTCTCAATAAATACATGACATCAATAAAGAAAGGAAAATTATAAAAAAGAGCTAAGTAGAAATTATGGAGTTAAAAAGCATAACTGAAATGAAAAATTCACTAGGTGGATTCAACAGCAGATTTGAGCAGGCAGTACAAAGAATCAGTAAATTTGAAGATAGGCCAATTGAGATTACCTAACTGGAGGAGCAGAAAGAAAAAAGGATGACGAAAAATAAGCAGAGCCATCAAACATAACAACATACGCATTATGAGAGTACCAGAAGGAGAAGAAAGGTACAAATGAATATTTGAGTAAATAATGGCCAAACATTTCCCAAATTTGCAGAAAGACATCAATCTACACATCCAAGAAGCTAAACAAACCCCAAGTAGGAGAAAATCAAAGATATTCACACCAAGATACATTATAATCAAATTGTCAAAAGACAGAATCTTGAAAACAGCAAGAGAGACCTGACTAGGAAGACATATACCTGATTTCTTATCAGAAACCTCAGAGACCAGATGGCAATTAAATGACATATTTAAAGCAATAAAAGAAAAAAAAAACTCTGTCAATTGATAATTCAATACATGGCACAATGATTCTTCAAAATGAAATTAAAATTAAAACATTCTCAGATAACAAAGGTTGAAGGAGTTCATCACTAGCAGAACTTCCCTATAAGAAATACTAAGGAAAGTTCTTTAGGTTAAAATGAAAGGACAGTAAACAATAAATTGATGCCACATAAAGAAATAAAGAAGATCTCTGGTAAAGATAACTATATAGATAAATATAAAAATCCAGTATTATTGCATGCTTGGTTTATATATCACCTCTTTTTTCCTATATGATTTAAAAGACCAAGGAACACAAGAAAAAGTATTAATCTATGTTAACAGGAACACAATTTATAACAATATAATTTGTGACAATAACATAAAGGAGGAGAAGACAGAGCTGTACAGGAGCAGAGTTTCTGTATGCTACTGAAGCTAAGTAGGTATCAATTCAAACTAGATTATTATGAATTTAGAATGTTAACTGTAATTCTCAGGGTAGCCATTAAGAAAATATCTTTAAGATATCCAGAAAAAAATTGAGGAGGGAATCAAAATGGCACACTACAAGAAAATCAGCTAAACACAAAAGAAGGCAGTAGTGATGGAACTAAGGAACAAAAAAAGATATGAGAAGAAACAAATAGCAAAATGGCAGAAACAAGTCCTTCTTTATCAGTAATTTCTTTAAATGTAAATGGGTTATGCTCTCCAGTTAAAAAACAGAGATTAGAGAAATGTATTTTTTAAAAGTATTACCCAACTATATACTATCTATAAAAGACTTATTTTTGATCCAAAGACAAATACATTGAATGTGAAAGTATATCAAAATAAATCTCATGTGGGGAAAGATGCCAGATAGGAGGCAGGACTAGCT